AGAACAGTGTCTCAAACAATAAGATATTCTGTGGACATAAAAGTTTAAAGTCGGCCCCAGCAAAGACTCTGGGCTATCATGACATGTTATACATTATTTTAAAGATAGTTTTATCAAGAAAACAGCTAGTCCATGTACAGTATATTACTATAAGTATATATATAAGTAATAATTAAAAGTTGAAAAAATAAATAAAGAGCCCCATCTGTTCTTGCTATCAGTTCTTATAGTACTAAAGTGTGTGTGTTTGTGTGATCACGTCTTCACAAACGTATCAGAGGCCAAATTATTATATAGTATATTGTATTCTATGTCTGTGTAATCTCTATTATTTGACCTTAGCATTAAAAGATCTAGATATAATATAAGTTCTATAAGTCCACCAATATGGTTTTGTTAAATATCATATTACGATGACATAAAATCACACAAAAAATAGCGAAGCTGCAAAAGCTGAAATGCGTTATTGTGAAGGACTAATGTAGTGTCAAACTGGAATCAACCATGTCACCTTTTTGCCAATTCATAAATATGTTTTTTAATGTGTCATAGACTGTAAATATTTACGTACATAGTGACGCCTATTTCCTCCAATGAAATGTATGTGCCACAGACATGGGCAGACATTGGCATTTGTGTCTGCCCCATTCATTTAACAAGTGCATTCAAAAGTCCATCCATCCATCCATGTTCTTCCCTTTAATCCATTTATGGGTCGGGGGGGTGGCATCGCTGACGTCATTGGGAGTCGTGGAGTAGGTCTCATGGTGGGCCCAAACAAAATCTCCCCTCAGCATTGACAGCATTTAGAACGTAGCGTTGACCTAAGAGACAACTTTTGGACCATCCAGAGGAAAGAAGTTGTCGCTAGAATGCACTAGATAATTCTGATTCCAGGTACACCCCCACCAGCAAGGAGTGAGATTGCAATAATGTCGTAGAGCCTTTTAAGCCGGGACCTGCCCCCACTGGCCTGTGTATATTGTTTTAATGAGAGTTGTTGTCAAACCAGTCATAGTACTTTTCAACTGACAAGCCCACGTCTTCAGACCTAATGTGATAGGCCTGAAGGGTGGGCTCGAGTCTCTAACGGGGCGGTGTCACAGATGTAAGCTGTAGATACACGTGTACCCACTACCCTCGGGACGCTCATAAACAAATGAACTCTGGTGCGAGATAATGGCCATCGGCTAACACGGCTAATGCGCTAATGCTTCCTGAGACCATTACACGGAGAGCTAAAACTGATCGCTATCTTTCAGCTGCTAATGGGCTTCGGAGAGAGGAGAGGCTTTTATGGAGATAACATCCAAACAAGAGTGTACGTGTGGTGTGGCGCTGTCATCGGACGGCCGCGCTCGGGCTCTATAGGAAAATAATAACAGGAACAGTGATCTGCTGATAGTGAAACGTGTACATTTAGAGATCTCCATTTTCTTGTTTGGATAGAGTCGTTTTCATCGTGAACTGGAAACAAAAATTCCCTTATGGGTCCCACAGTGAGGAAAATGCATCGTGCACAGACAAAGCAAGATCAAAACTGTCCAAATATGCCTTGATAGCTTGATAAAGTACACTTGTATATAGTAATTTAAAGAACTGTATGTAGATTTTTTTATTCACCTATGCCTTATTTTATTCTACTTTAACTTCAACTTGTTTGCACCAAAAGCCAAAGCCATTTCCTAGTTTGTTGTTACACAAATGGAAATAAGATAATTCTGATTCTGATATTCAACAAAGTACAATCAGAAAAGTATTCCACCAACTTTAATGTGACAGGATCCTTTAACAAATACATTTTAAAAACAGTTTTGTCATCATCTGTGCATCTACTGCGAGGACTGCTGACTGAAATAATCAGAACTCCTTTCCTACTCACATACTGTACGCTATGATGGCCTTGGCCTTCTGTACATTTAACACATGCATCAGGTATTCTATTATACTGGGAATAGTCTCACTGTATTCTCACAGTTTCACAACAGTAATACATACCGCATGTGTACAAAGATTTTGTTCTATTCTATTGGCTCAATGCCACTATATGGAGATAATAATATTCTGAATGATGTACTGTATACATAAATACACACACACCAGTGCCTGTGTATGTAGATTAAATTGTGATTTTTTGCTTCATTGCCGCCACATGTACAAAACAAAGACTCAAGTCAAATAGTAGGAAATATTGTGGTATTTCAAAGTATTGGTGACACGGTGGCTGAGTGGTTAGCACTTTCGCTTCTCAGCAAGAAGGTCCCAGGTTCAGAACAGGGCTGTTCTGAGAAGAGTTTAAATGTTCTCCCTGTGTCTGCGTAAGTTTCCTCTGGGTGCTCTGATTTCCCAAAACAAAACTAAAAACATGCACAATAGGTGTGAATGTAACGAGTGAGTGAATGGATGGTGTTGGTTGGAGGCTTTGATGCAACAGTGTGTTCAGCGTCTTGTTTCCGTCCCAAATGGGGTGGGTGATTGGAACAATACATGAAATCCTTACCTGGTCTGAAGAACCATGTCTGAGTCCTTCACCTGGTCTATCCCGGGGCCCCATGTAGAGTGAAATACCATGCTTAGAAGGATTGATTGATGGACTTGGGCCTCATGGCAAACACTCGCACTGACGTGGTCAACTCTGGATAACGGTGAACAGAGGGATCCAGTTCCAGTTAATTTGGACTTATTTGGCGTAAAAGTCTACACTGCCTTTGATTTGACCAGCTAAAGTGTTTTACAAATTAAATGTCCCTTTAAAAAGATCCGCATGCTTCCCGTTTGTACTGTTTCCATCCAATAATGTCTGTTGAAATAAATGTTTGTTTTGCTCTCTGCTGTTGAATAACTGTCTTAAGGAGCGCGGATATGTTGTCCGCAGCCGGCCTTGATGTTTATTCATCAAACTGAATTTCTCCATCTGTGAGATAATAAAGTATTGATTGTTCTAGGTGTTATTCACATGCTGGTTTTGAAAGCAGTGGAGGCGGGTCCCCGCTCAAAAACGTCCATGAGCATGTGCGCTGACATACTTGCAATCTCACTCCTTGCCGGTGGGGGTGGACCCAGAAAGAGAACCGTCCAATGCTTTTGTATGGCATCTTCTTTCCTCTCGACAGGATGGTCCAAAAGTCGCTCTTGGTCCAAAGCTATGTTCCAGATGTTGTCAACACTGAGGGGAGTACATTTTTTTTGAACCACTCTAGTTTAGCCGTTGTGCACTTCAGAATGCACTCGTTAAATGAATGAGGCTAGTGCTGGCTAACGCATGCGCAAATGTGTTTTTTCACATTTTCCTGCGGGAGGGGGCTGCCCGCGGCCATTTTGAAAAAGCTTCATAGAAGGGATGACACATTTTTGTACAACGCCGGAGATGGGCGTGACTATCTGTGATATTTACAGTCTATGCCATGTAAGCTATCGCCCCCTGTGTTTCAATTCTGCACCTCGACTCTTGCATTATATCAGAATCAGAATCAGAATCAGAATCATTTTTATTGCCACGTGAGTAACAAAGTTACCACTTGGAAATTGTCTTGGCAGAGAGCGTGCCACTTCGCCATTTGCGGCGCTGTGTGCAGCAAGAAACAGCAGAGAGCAATAACATACAGTTCACAGACAATTGGATAGACACATTGTGCTTTTTATAAACCACGGATTTTTTTCTCGGGATGAGCACCTCCGGCGGCCGGCCCAATGTGGCTGTCAGAGGGGGGCGGGATCAGGGAGGGGGTGAGTAGGAAAACAATGAGGAATGGAGGGGAGGGAGGGAGCAAGATGGATAGGTAGAGGGAGGCGGGGGTGAGGGATCCTTGCTGGAGACTGAAATAGTGTGAGTTGTTGTAGATTGTGGGACCTTGTTTATGGCCTTGGTCGAGGAATGTGAGATAAGAGTGGAGAGAAGACACAGCAGGAGAAAAACACATCGCCTGAGAGGGACAATATTATATGCAATGTAGCATCAAAAGCAGGCAGATATTCTATTAATTCCAATTAAACCGAATTACGGCGCCCTCAGACCTCCGTACACAGGGGCAAATCCAAGCCGGGTCAGAGAGTTCAAGCCTGACAAACAATGTCATTCAATCTCAATTCCAGAGTTTTATGCCCATCGAGTGAACGAGCTGCGAGGTCTTTGATCAACTGTTCCACCAAAACCACTCTCCTTTGTCCAGACACGGCACTCTCAACCACGACGCGGCTTAGCTCCTTGTACATCCCATCAATTTTGTCGGCCAGCAGGTCGTGAATCTTGCGAACTGCCATGCCTCCGAATTTGTGGTAGAAGAGGATTGCTCCAAACCCAAACAGGAGGATTCCCACCACCAAAATGCCAAAGATATATACGTCTTTATATACATTCTACATAAGAAAGAGAGTGAGAAATTAAAGTAAGGCCTACGTGTTCGAGTGCATACTGTATGTCTATGGCTATGGATTATACAAAATTGCACTGGTTCTTCCTTCCATCCCATCTGTAAGTAAGTAAGTAAGCTTTATTTATATACCGCCTTTCACAGACCAGAGTCACAAAGCGGTTTACAATTGTTATTTTTTGGGCACTTGCCCTCTCACTCCACACAGAGATGGGAGCGGGGTCACCGAACAGGAGGCGCATGCCAGACCTATTGTACATATTTTTAGTGGTAGGGAAAACCGGAGTACCCGGAGGAAACCTACGCAGACACGGGGAGAACATGCAAACTCCACTCAGACCCAGGACCTTCTTGCTGAGAGGCGAGAGTGCTATCCACTCAGCCACCGTGCCGCAAATCTGCACACCACATTGAACTCCTTCCTGCTTCACTCCATTCGTAGCTTTTCTCTTTCTGGTCGTGATTGCACGCCTCTTCTCATTGTGTGCACTAAACACTATCCTTCTCATTTCCTATCATGGCTACATCCAATTCCTGATGTAGCCATCTTGACAACTTCATCCAACTTGGAAATTCAACATTTGGGCAGATGAAGCCTGTAGAGCTGGAGCTGCAATACTAGGGCTGCACTCAGGGGTCCCTTCCCGCCCTGCAGTGGAGAGACAAGTGCAGGCTGGAGCTTGTGTGTGATGAGGTCTCGCTCTCTTCCTCTTTGTGGCTGACTCCCTGAGGTCTGTCGTGACAGTGGATCTCTGCATGTTTTATGTGGACATGACTTGTGCATTTATTCTGTTTGTCATCTTTATTGATGTATTTATTTTTCATAAACACGGTCTCTTTTCGCTGTTGGCTTGAAGTAAACATGTCACTGAGGCTCAGGAGGCTGCAGTGTTCTGGCTCGGACTCAAAGAGCAATGAAGAGAGACGTGCTTTTGCATTGTATAAAGTTTAAATCTATGAATGAAGCAGTAGATTGTTCAGTTATTTGAAATGTATATATTGATTTAAAACAAAAACATGAAAATAATTAAAAATCCAGGTAAATTTTATAATCAATAGGGGTGGGAATTGGCTAAAAATCTGAGGATTCGATATCATTGCAATATTAGGGCCACGATTCAATATTATTGCAATTCTTAATGTATTGCAATTCAATACTGCATGACTAAAAGGCATCACACAAATTGAGTAAAAAAAGACTCAACTGAAATGTCACATTTTGAGCAAAGACTGGCGGTTAGTGCAAAAATAAAATCTTTTGAACTAGAATGAAAAGCACCGCAACAAGCGCCACCTTTTGGATGTGATACGCAAATGTAAATCACCAGAGTATTTGCAGAGAATAAACTAAATTAAAACAGGAAACTATTTAATGAACTATTGCAATACTTTGTTCTGCTGTATAGATTTAATTAAGTATGCAAAATATCACAATACAAAACAGAGTTGATTTTCCTCCCACTACTAATGATCAGCTGTTCATAAAAATCATAAAAGCCCAAACATTAGTGGACAGGGAAGGCCTGCCTTAAAAAAAAAAAAGCAATTTTTGCACTCATAAATAATGAGAGATTGTTTGTCTAAATTTGCCAACATCAATTACAGAACATTGTGATGGTCTTAAAACAAGAAGGGCCAAAGTCCCCTCCACCTTCTGAGGAGGCTGAGGTCCTTCTGAGTGAGGCTCTGCTCAGGACTTTTTATGACTCTGTGGTAGCCTCAGCCATATACTACGCTGCCGTGTGCTGGGCCCCGGGCAGCACAGAGCGGGACAGGAGCAGACTGAACAAGCTGGTCAGGAGGGCCAGCTCCACTCTGGGCTGCTCCCTGGACTCTGTGGAGGAGGTGAGGGACAGGAGGCCCCTGGACTCTGTGGAGGAGGTGAGGGACAGGAGGCCCCTGGACTCTGTGGAGGAGGTGAGGGACAGGAGGCCCCTGGACTCTGTGGAGGAGGTGAGGGACAGGAGGCTCCTGGACTCTGTGGAGGAGGTGAGGGACAGGAGGGTGCTAGCCAAAGTCACCTCCATCATGGACAACACCTCCCACTGCACAGGACTGTAAAGATGCTGAGGAGCTCCTTCAGTGGAAGACTGAGGCACCCTCAGTGTAAGAAGGAGCGATACGGCAGGGTCCCCACCGCTGTCAGACTGTACAATAAGTCACTTTCAGTCACTTGCACAAGGAGTATAAAACCGGCACTACTATTTCCACTGTTTCTTTAATTGCCACTTTTTATTGTACATACAGTAATATATCCTGCACAGACTATATTATTAACCTTTAGCAAGTTTGCACACTTTCTTGACATGTACATTTCTTCTGTGTGAGATCAATAAAGTCTATCTTGTAAGTAAGTAAGTAAGTAAGTATTTATTTATATACCGCCTTTTCACTGCAGATCTGAGTCTCAAAGCGGTTTACAATTGTTAATTGTAAACCGCTTAAATCTTGTCTTATCTTACAAAATTTTCCAATGGAACAAGTAATATATTTACTATATCCATGCTTGAAATAAGACTAAAGCCCTATGTTTAGTTCCAACTGACAGGAGGCCAGTCCCTGTGCTCCTCAGAGTCCCAGCAGGAGGCCAGTCCCTGTGCTCCTCAGAGTCCCAGCAGGAGGTCAGTCCCTGTGCTCCTCAGAGTCCCAGCAGGAGGCCAGTCCCTGTGCTCCTCAGAGTCCCAGCAGGAGGCCCGTCCCTGTGCTCCTCAGAGTCCCAGCAGGAGGCCAGTCCCTGTGCTCCTCAGAGTCCCAGCAGGAGGCCCGTCCCTGTGCTCCTCAGAGTCCCAGCAGGAGCAGGAGGCCAGTCCAGTCTGTGTTGGTTCATATGGCATTAACATGTCACAGATGTACTTTGATGTAAAGCCTTGGAGAGACTTGAAAGCTGCTTTAAAGTCTATTCCCTGAGCCACGGGAAGCAGAGACCTGAGGACTAGACTAATGTGATCATACTTCCTGGTTCCAGTCAAGTCTCCAGCTCCGGCATACTCATCTTACTTCACAGGTAATTACTTCTAATCTACATTTTTTCCTAAGACATCACCTAATATTGTAAAACATGACATGGCAAAGACAATATTCTAAACATTCAATTTGAGACACAAAAGGAACACAAATAATGCATCCCTTGAGTTCTGTCTCTGCTTCCAAAACCCACAAAAACAAATATACTTACAGTAACGGCTGATTGAACGGCTCATAAATAACATGTGACATTTCCTATATAAAAGTCTTATTTGTGGAGCACATTTGACTGCGGCTGCAACAAAAAGCGCTGTGTGGAACTCCTCCGTCAGCGCTTTAGTCCGTCCATACAGTGACCAGCTCAGCGCTCGTCAATCACACGCACACGTCCGATAAATAACTATAATTAAAAAATACTGCTGATTGCATAAACGGGGCAATCCATTAGGGCGGCGCTGGTGTGCGCACTGACGGCCGCGTGAGTTATGGGCCTTCAGCCGAGCGAGAAGGGTCAAAAAATATTAGTTTGGCAATACTGCAGAGCAAGAAGAGTTTGGACAAGTAATGTATTTGCCTAAGTACACTTTTAAACATCTGTTATGACGCAGTGTCTTTGTGAAACATGGTCTTGAAAAGTACAACAGGTCTATCAATGACATCATAGTGCAACGATTAGTCTCAGTAAAATAACGGTTGGAAAAATAGAGTAAATACACTGAAAAAACTGATGAAAAGTAAGGCATAAACTGGCCAAATTGGACAAAATGTATCTTGATTTTAACACATTCTGACTGCCGTAAATGGCAACTCACCCTCAAATATAAATAAACGGTATAAATGAGTGTCCAATAGTATTGCGTACATATCCTGGTCATATCTTTGTCACTTTAGTGCAAATTAGTTCAAAGATCAACTTTCTGCCTAAAACCGTCAGTGAGGCGCCATCTGCAGTCAACCTGTATTTACTAAATTTCAATTCTGAATCTGGCGCCAACATTGGCGCAACAGTGATACCTGACGTCTGCAGTGATACTTGACGTCTGCAGTGATTCTTGACGTCTGCAGTGATACCTGACGTCTGCAGTGATTCTTGACGTCTGCAGTGATACCTGACGTCTGCGGTGATACCTGACGTCTGCAGTGATACCTGACGTCTGCAGTGATACCTGACGTATGCAGTGAAGACTGACGTCTGCAGTGATACCTGACGTCTGCAGTGATATTTGACGTCTGCAGTGAAGGCTGACGTCTGCAGTGATACCTGACGTCTGCAGTGATACTTGACGTCTGCAGTGATACCTGACGTCTGCAGTGATACTTGATGTCTGCAGTGATACCTGACGTCTGCAGTGAAGGCTGACGACTGCAGTGATACCTGACGTCTGCAGTGATAACTGACGTCTGCAGTGATACCTGACGTCTGCAGTGATACCTGTCGTCTGCAGTGATACCTGACGTCTGCAGTGAAGGCTGACGACTGCAGTGATACCTGACGTCTGCAGTGATACCTGACGTCTGCAGTGATACCTGACGTCTGCAGTGATACCTGACGTATGCAGTGAAGGCTGACGACTGCAGTGAAGGCTGACGTATGCAGTGAAGGCTGACGACTGCAGTGAAGGCTGACGACTGCAGTGATACTTGACGTCTGCAGTGATACCTGACGTCTGCAGTTATACCTGACGTCTGCAGTGAAGGCTGACGTCAGTTGCCCTGCCGCCCAGTGAACGTGAACGGCTCAGTCTCGTTCACGCCCCCGTATCGAAGGAAGGAAGGAATAGCAGAGAGTATTTTCATCGATTGTCAGGCTTGCGATTAATTATAGCATTTAGGTAGATTTTTATTAGCATAGCTGTTTGTATTATAGATAATTGTGTAGTGTTAACAGCGTTGTTGTTGAATATTGTAGTTTTAGTCACTATTGCTTTTATTGTCAAGTGTCAATCACAGCCTAGACCCGCCCAACATTCACCCCCCGCCTGACCCCTTTAGTCCTCCAGGCTACGGCCATTTAGAGGAAGATTTGAACAGGAAATGTGAGTGACGTAAGCCTTGAGAAGCAGGGGTGAGAAGTTCTTTAAAACAATATTTGCCAATGGGTCATACTAAATGATCTTGTTTTAAAAAGATACAAGAAGTGTCTCCTTTGGAATGAGAAAATAAAGCCACAGTTTTGGAATAAATGTTAATGGCTCTGTCTCGTTGAAAAACCATTCGCTTCAAGCAATTATTACCTCATATTTTATCTTTATCTACTATATTTGATTGTTCTGCAGTGTAGACAGATGGGCCGTGGGAACATTTTGTGCCAGAAGTTCCTGATATAGTTGTGTTTCAAAGTTTACACACCCAGCCATAAAAATTATTGTTCTGGACATTTAGAGATGACACTAAAAATGAGGGGTTGTGTTATCTGCCTTGAGGTGTAAAGTTTTAAGAATCATACATGTGAAGAACCGAAATTTCAGAATAACCACGGAACACCACTTTATCTTCTTTACTTATTCTGCCGACACCAAAATGTCCCCAGTTTGGGATGAATAAAGGCTCTGTTGTCTCTCTTTATTAGCGTGGCTTGAGATAAACACAACCCCAGGTCATGGGGTTAAAAGATGATCCAAAAGTAGTCATTTTAGGCACCATATTCTGTATTTGTGGCCATATTTGCATGTGAAAGCCAAATCCCGTCAGACCTCTGAAGCTGTGCAGGGCAGGGCCTGGTTAGCACTATGATGGGAGACCTTTGGGGAGATCACAATGGGGCGGCTGTAGAGTGCCAAACTGTTGTTGTGTCCTTAGGCAAGACACTTCACCCACATTGCCTATTATGAGTCTGGTGTGTGTGAATGGTTGGTGGTGGTCGGAGCCTTGCTTCTGTCAGTGTGCCCCAGGGCAGCTGTGGCCACAGTAATAGTATATCACCACCGTGTATGTAGAGAAAGAATACAGGCATGTGAAGCATCTTTGAGTGTCCAGAAAAGGGCTGTATGAAACTGATGCATTATTAAGACAAGATAACTTTATTGATCTCACAATGGAGAAATGAAGATGTCACATTTGACACAGAAAGAATCACTCAGATCGTGCATTATTATTATTATTATTATTATTATGTATTTACTTCTTATACTTGACAGTTGTTCACTGTGAGATAAAGGGCGATCACTAGACATACAATGGCATAACAAGAAAAGATTTTCCTGAGCAGTTTTAATACTATTACAATTATGTTTTAATGACAGCTTATTGTACACTAACATTTTGTTTTCTCTAGTTGTCCCGAGGCCGACTTCCGAATTGTAAAACTTGTGATTTCTTTGATCTAAGAGAAGCAATATGGACGTTATGTATCCACAATATTGTATTTTCCACCTGAACCACCTTCTGAAATCACCCTTCTGCGGTCTTTGTAAATGGAATAGTTGAATCATCGTAGCGTCGCACATGTGCAATTCATATCCAGTCCCTTTCTCAAATCTTGACATTGGAGCGCAGAGGGAGATCATGCAGCGTTGGTTTTATTTAAGCGGATCGGTAAACAGCTGAAGTGGCAGAAAATAGTTTTATCGGAGAGACAGCTGAGGCTTATACTCTCCGGAAAGACGTCACCTGGCCCAGTCTCCACAGCAGGGACGTGCGGTGAGGTTTGTGATTGGGGAGGCACTGACTTTAAAAGTCAGATTTACAATCATTATTCAAATAAAATAGCATTTAATCACCAATGCAATGACATCCACAAACTTTATATACTGTAAAGATAAGAGAACCAGCTTCTTTTAATAATCTCACAACAAATCTAGCTGCTGACTCTGCTCCGCATCAAACAACATCTTTAAGAAGCGCAGGTGCGAGAGACGCGAGGAGAGAGAGACGCGAGGAGAGAGGAGCAGAGAGAGACAGAGAGGAGCAGAGAGACGGAGACGCGAGGAGAGAGAGACGCGAGGAGAGAGGAGCAGAGAGAGACAGAGAGGAGCAGAGAGACGGAGACGCGAGGAGCAGAGAGAGACAGAGAGGAGCAGAGAGACGGAGACGCGAGGAGCAGAGAGAGACGGAGACGCGAGGAGAGAGAGACGCGAGGAGAGAGAGACGCGAGGAACATAAACAATAATTTAAACAAGTTGCAGAACTCTTGAGCAGTGTTTGAATCAGTGTTTTTCGGAAAAGCACTACTTTGCCGGTATCTGTCAATGTTCAACATAAAACACAGATTAACAAACTCCTCCCCCGCAGCCGGACTAACCTCGTAAGTCCAGTGGTGGTCTCCCAGTCTATATTAATTCTTTCTTTGTTTGAAAGTCCAATTGAGAAAAAAAATCTTCATTCAAATCATCCATTTTCCAGCAAAAGAAATAGCATTTTGGGCTGATTGTTTGTTAGCAACTCTGGTATGAACTTTATGCTCACTATCACCCCTAGCGGTGAGGCACAGATACCGCCTGCCTCACGCCAAGCTTTTTCCTTGTGTGTTCATCTACGATCAAAAGACTTAAACTAAATATAAATTGTACACACATACGTGCAATACACTACTAAACACTAAGAGGAGTTTAAAAAATGTTTTTAAAGCAGGATATTTGAAACAAACGGTGATATATCAACTGCACGAGCTGAGTGCACTCAGACACACACACACACACTGTGAGGGAGCGGTCTGGGGTGAGGCACGCAGGAGCGCTGCCTCACCTCGTCTCTTTGAATAGGAATAACGGGATTTCGGCGATTTTGACTTCAGAAATGATCAAAACTGATGGGAACCGTGCCGAATATACATTAAAAGCATAGGACAGTGGATATAAATTATATATTTAAACTAAAATAATTATTAGTTTCCAATAATGGCAGGTGAGGCTCTGCCTCCCCTGACTGCACGTCTCTGCTCCACAGGTGAGACTCCGCTGGGGCTGCGTTTACCAAATCCAGATTAAAGAAATGATTTTAATGAGGATAATCTGTGAGCAGGGCTGGGCTGCGGAGAAATGGTTTTTATCCCTTTTTTAGTACACAAAGTAACTGAACTCGTTGGGATTTGATATGTGACCGGATCTTCATTTCGTACAAAGATTTCAACAGAGAAGTGTAGATACAAGTAGAAGTGTTGACATTATACCAGGTACAAGATTGTGCAGGGCAAATCAGATAAAATCTTAATTTCTGAGCCTAAAAACGTCTGTGTGGCGCCCTCTCTACATTTTCGATGGTACTACATTTGAATTTGGTCCTGGCCTCTCCATTGACTCTGTAATACTGTGTGACGTCAGTTTGTATGTGTGACGTCAGTTGGTGTGTGACATCAGTTGGTGTGTGTGACGTCAGTTGGTGTGTGTGACGTCAGTTGGTGTGTGACGTCAGTTGGTGTGTGTGACGTCAGTTGGTGTGTGATGTCAGTTGGTGTGTGTGACGTCAGTTGGTGTGTGTGACGTCAGTTGGTGTGTGTGACGTCAGTTGGTGTGTGTGATGTCAGTTGGTGTGTGTGATGTCAGTTGGTGTGTGTGACGTCAGTTGGTGTGTGTGACGTCAGTTGGTGTGTGTGATGTCAGTTGGTGTGTGACGTCAGTTGGTGTGTGTGATGTCAGTTGGTGTGTGACGTCAGTTTGTATGTGTGACATCAGTTGGTGTGTGACGTCAGTTGGTGTGTGTGACGTCAGTTGGTGTGTGTGACGTCAGTTGGTGTGTGTGACGTCAGTTGGTGTGTGTGACGTCAGTTGGTGTGTGTGACGTCAGTTGGTGTGTGTGAAGTCAGTTGGTGTGTGACGTCAGTTGGTGTGTGTGACGTCAGTTTGTATGTGTGAAGTCAGTTGGTGTGTGACGTCAGTTGGTGTGTGTGATGTTAGTTGGTGTGTGTGATGTCAGTTGGTGTGTGTGATATCAGTTGGTGTGTGACGTCAGTTTGTGTGTGTGACGTCAGTTGGTGTGTGTGACATCAGTTGGTGTGTGTGACGTCAGTTGGTGTGTGTGACGTCAGTTGGTGTGTGTGACGTCAGTTGGTGTGTGTGACGTCAGTTGGTGTGTGTGACGTCAGTTGGTGTGTGATGTCAGTTGGTGTGTGTGACGTCAGTTGGTGTGTGTGACGTCAGTTGGTGTGTGTGACGTCAGTTGGTGTGTGTGACGTCAGTTGGTGTGTGTGATGTCAGTTGGTGTGTGTGACGTCAGTTGGTGTGTGTGACGTCAGTTGGTGTGTGTGATGTCAGTTGGTGTGTGTGACGTCAGTTGTGTGTGTGACGTCAGTTTGTATGTGTGACATCAGTTGGTGTGTGACGTCAGTTGGTGTGTGTGACGTCAGTTGGTGTGTGTGACGTCAGTTGGTGTGTGTGACGTCAGTTGGTGTGTGTGACGTCAGTTGGTGTGTGTGACGTCAGTTGGTGTGTGTGAAGTCAGTTGGTGTGTGACGTCAGTTGGTGTGTGTGACGTCAGTTTGTATGTGTGAAGTCAGTTGGTGTGTGACGTCAGTTGGTGTGTGTGATGTTAGTTGGTGTGTGTGATGTCAGTTGGTGTGTGTGATATCAGTTGGTGTGTGACGTCAGTTTGTGTGTGTGACGTCAGTTGGTGTGTGTGACATCAGTTGGTGTGTGTGACGTCAGTTGGTGTGTGTGACGTCAGTTGGTGTGTGTGACGTCAGTTGGTGTGTGTGACGTCAGTTGGTGTGTGTGACGTCAGTTGGTGTGTGTGAAGTCAGTTGGTGTGTGACGTCAGTTGGTGTGTGTGACGTCAGTTTGTATGTGTGAAGTCAGTTGGTGTGTGACGTCAGTTGGTGTGTGTGATGTTAGTTGGTGTGTGTGATGTCAGTTGGTGTGTGTGATATCAGTTGGTGTGTGACGTCAGTTTGTGTGTGTGACGTCAGTTGGTGTGTGTGACATCAGTTGGTGTGTGTGACGTCAGTTGGTGTGTGTGACGTCAGTTGGTGTGTGTGATGTCAGTTGGTGTGTGTGACGTCAGTTGGTGTGTGTGACGTCAGTTGGTGTGTGTGACGTCAGTTGGTGTGTGTGACGTCAGTTGGTGTGTGACGTCAGTTGGTGTGTGTGACGTCAGTTGGTGTGTGTGACGTCAGTTGGTGTGTGTGACGTCAGTTGGTGTGTGTGACGTCAGTTGGTGTGTGACGTCAGTTGGTGTGTGTGACGTCAGTTGGTGTGTGACGTCAGTTGGTATGTGTGACGTCAGTTGGTGTGTGACGTCAGTTGGTGTGTGTGACGTCAGTTGGTGTGTGTGATGTCAGTTGGTGTGTAACGTCAGTTGGTGTGTGTGACGTCAGTTGGTGTGTGTGATGTCAGTTGGTGTGTGACGTCAGTTTGTGTGTGTGACGTCAGTTGGTGTGTGTGACGTCAGTTGGTGTGTGACGTCAGTTGTGTGTTTGATGTCAGTTGGTGTGTGACGTCAGTTGGTGTGTGTGATGTCAGTTGGTGTGTGACGTCAGTTTGTGTGTGTGAAGTCAGTTGGTGTATGTGACGTCAGTTGGTGTGTGTGACGTAAGTTGGTGTGTGACGTCAGTTGTGTGTTTGATGCCAGTTGGTGTGTGTGACGTCAGTTTGTGTGTGTGTGACGTCAGTTGGTGTGTGTGACGTCAGTTTGTGTGTGTGTGACGTCAGTTGGTGTGTGTGACGTGCGTCTGTCTGCGCCAGTGATATAAACCCATTCAACTCTCACACGCGCCCCTGCAGCAGGTTGGAGTACTCTGACAACATCGAGTGGATTAAAATTAAATTACATGATTGGACAACCACTGCTGCTCAGATAATTCTGGAATAGACCCAGACTCTTGTGAGTAGCGCAGCGATCTACGAGGATCTGGAGAGAGTCAGGCTAACTGGTTACTGCTTACTCAGCAAATCACCCAAAAGAAAGTCTCGCCCTCCGTACTTCAAATGTGTGATCCATATTGTGAGACGCGAACTCCGTAAACAACAGCACATGAGCACAGGCCGTGTGGGAGGGGGTGGTGGGGGGGTGATAGCTTCGTGAGTGCGGGAGGGGAGCAGAAAGAGTGAGGTCAGTGCTCACATTTGAAACTGCTGCTTCGAAATCACAAAGTCCAGCTTGAACGTGGTCTTATTTAGTTTGCAGTACTGCTGGAATCCCCCGAGCACACGAGTCCTTCGGCTATAAGCTAGTAAAACCTTATCCAGATATTATATAGATCCATGTTGAGCCCTTAGGCATAGGTAATACTTTATTGATCTCTTGATGGGGATATCCAAGTGATTCACTTGGATCGTCCAGAAAGTACACATACTTTACACAACGTTAATTAGATTTGACATCTATTAGACAAGAAATTTATAAAATATAAAACACTTTTGATGTTAACACCAGGATTATCCAACCAAACTGCTGCTGGAAAAAAAACATTTTCTTTGTCATCGATAATAAATATTTATAACAATCTTAATTAAAACAGGTTCAACAACAGAACTGAGAAGCCTGCTCATACATATTTGACATGTTTTAAGTTAGTAAATGATAAGGGAACACCATTATACATACATCCCCTTTAAAGCTGCACTAACTGACTTTATTTTTGTATTCATTGCAAAAATGCAATCCATATCCATGCAGTGCATTGATATACGTCCTTTTGAAGAAAAAGTAGCGCAGATTTGTGCTAGCGTGTCATTTGATTTTAGATCGAGTTTTTGAGCAACAAGGAAGAGAATTTCAGGTCCCGATTGTGACCAATCACAGCGGACCACTGGCCCCCACTTTCTTGAGAAAATCGACAGGTCTCTTGTTAGCACAGAGAGCTGAGGTAAACAAGCGGCAGAGACTAACCTGAAACTTCCCGTGTCTTCGTTACCGGTTACTGCTTACACAGCAAAACAGCCAAAAGAAAGTCTAGTCCTTTCCGAGCTTCCCAGTTCTATCATTCTATGGTCATACCATCCACGTTCAAATGCGCGATCCATACATGATCTATCCATGAGACAATAGCTCTGTGTAGTGATACACCTGTTTTGTGAGCGCTCCTATCAGCGCTCTGGCTTGCAGTATTTAAGGACAGCCCTCTCCCGTACACTCCTGTTTGCCACGCCTCTGACGTCGGGACGCTGCTCGCTTCGTGGGTGCGTGGAGGACAAAGAGCGAGGCCAGTGAAACCGCTGCTTTGAAATCCCAAAGTCAGTTAGTGCAGGTTTAAAGCAGGGGCACCTAACTTTTAACAAAATAAGTACCACATTTCGTTCGTCCCAACAGCACTATTTTAGACAAAATTTGCATTGTGCATACTTCTGTTCGGGTCTAAACACGTGCATGGACATTTTGTTCTAGATTCTCATATCTGTTGATAGTGAATTGACCACCTCCCAACTGCTGTGGGGATTTTGTGCTTTTGTGTATAAAAATAAGTGTAATTGAATATTTGACACTTTGGGCTGAGAGCTGGAGAGTGAGAGCGATCCTGTGGCAGAGGCCACAACTACATGAATGTGAAAACTAGTGATGAACCAAATTGTATTGAGGGCAAGAAACTAGTTTTTTGTTTTGACAGAAAGTAACCACAGCTTTAATACAAATCATGCCGTCTAAATGCTCGGTCAGGCTTGAGTTTTGTTCCAACACGGATTCTAAACAGTGTGTACATGGTGGGCCGCTGTTGGGGCCTCTTGTTAGCATCTGAGCTAATGTAATGCTAACCCTGCATGGTGTTAGGGTGTTTGCTTTGTGAGAAGCTGAGTCAACAACGGCAGATGCTCAGGACGTCTCCACAAACAGTGAGAGGAGAAACCACGGCTGCATGGTGTGGATTACAGCGGAGAAGAGCAGAGAAGACATCTTTAAGTAAACAGGAGACAGATGCTAGCGCGGCAGGTTAGCGGAGTAGCTACATCTTTTACATCTGTCACTCCCCAAACGCAGTCAATCATGCTCGACTATCTTTCACATAGAATGCACTCAGAAAGTTTTCAACCCTTCATCGATTTATATTTTTCACATTTTTTATAATTCATCAAACAGAATACCTCATCAGGACAAAGTGAAAGGTTTATCCAGGAGTCTTTACCATTTGATTAAAATTACAATGTGAAAATGTACACAACATAAATGTGTATAAATGTATCAAGTCCCCCTGGGATGTTGCAAGCTTGGCACTTCTACATTGGGAATCCCCAATTCTTCTCAAGTATCAGCTTATTCTTTCCAGAGGTGTTCAATATTGAGCCACTCAGGAACAGTCACAGACTTTTTCTTAAATGTCTTTACCTTTAACTGTCTTGTGTGCTTTGCTGCTGTCCAGATGGACCAGGAACTGACGGCCGGGTCCCAGGTCCAGAACACTCTGGAGCAGGTCCTCAGGATTTCTCTGTCATTCATATTTTCCTGTGTTCTGACGAGTTTCCAGTCCCTGTTGCAGAAAAAACATCCCACAGCGTTAAAGCCTTGGCCTTTGGGCCAGATAGTTCCTGTTGGGAGTCTACCTCAGATTTCATCAGATTTCATCAGAGGTAGACTGATGTTGTGAATATTTCCCATAACCATATTATGTGTATCTGTTTTTTCACAATGCCAACGGCTTTTTCTCAGATGCATCATGGGAGATTATGTGGGATTTGGTTTCAATGGGACAAGATTATTGCAATTACTGACTGCCCTTGTAAACACAGAATACTAATGGACTAAATACTGTCCCCAGATAATTAGAGTTAGTTATGATTAAGAGATCCTTTATTTGTCCCACAGTATCGGAATTTCAGTTATAGTTGTTAATCTCATAATGATAATGTTTATAATGTTAATGTTTTCAATGTTCATGGTAATTTAAATGACACGGTTGTTTTCTCAATAAATTAAAATGATGTATAATGTGCCATATCAGCCCCACACTCTCAGTGCGGTCCGCTCTGACATTGTGAGGTCAGTGATGTTGAAATACCCTGCGGCCCTCGGTCCGCGTGTTTGTGACCACTAATGTGAGATAATGAAAGCAGAAAGTCATTTCCCTTCCCCACTTCTAGATTGGGGTCATTCACTAATCCACCAGATCTTTTTTTTAATCAGGAGTGCTCACACAAACCAAGATCTTCGCTTCCAGCTCTGATTTATCACGATTCAGAACGTCACATTTGCTTGGGTTCACTGCAGAATGTGAATACTGTCAAGTAATAATAAAGGATTAGAATATGGACTTATAAAAGCACACATGGACCTACCACTTCATGTACAGTACTTCATAGAGACTTAGATCTTTCTGACACTGTAAATGTTAGTGATGCTCATATCTACAGTAGTTTGGTGAAATGTTTTGTCAGATTCACTCGATGGAAGCGCTCACACCTTGTGTATTTGTGCTCCTTCTCTTGAGGAGGCGCTGGCAGAGTGAGTAGAGAGCGTTTGCATAAGCAGACCAGTGTTCTGACAGCGTTTGATGCACGTCAGCCGCGGCCCGTGCGTGAACACCGTGAGAATTAAAAGCTCAACGATTATAATAAAGAAGCAGGGGTTTCCTCGCACGCTCGTGGCCTGGAACGAAAGACTCTTCATTCACTTGTGTACGAGAATAAACACATGCAATGATGAGGTGGAACCCTGAATGACGTCTTTGGAATCTACCGCTGATCGACGACGTTATGAACTATTATGTTTTGCTCATCCATATTTTTTCTAATAAATCATTTCATAACTTAAAATGCTGACATATAAATAACATGTTATGGGGCCAATGTAGTTGCTAGTGCCCTGTTCTTTGGGGTTGTGTGTGTTGACCTCGAGAGACAGTAGATAATTATATAATTTACATACAAGGATGCCCAGCCCACATGGGCTCATAAGACACCATTTACACAAATACAGAAACACAGGCCAACTTCAGGCACATAAACTAAATCATGATAAAAATCAACCACAAATGCTTTCATTTGAATAGATGAGACTATTCATCTGAAGTTAAGCCTGGAATTCAAATTCCAGGCTTAGGTTTTACTGAAGACACTTTAAAAACTTGATTTTCAAATAAAAAATCAGGAAAACAAATCAGGATCCCGGGAGAACGTTTCATGAAACAACGTGTACCTAAATTCATCATAAAAAGGACAATATAACAAAAAATGCACTTCACAGACAGTAAGTAGCTCTTCAGTAATTGTGACTCGGTGATGGAGAAGTGGAGGTGGGTGGAGGTGGGTGGGGCTCACATCCGGAGCATCCTGAGCACCTCTGCATCACACTGTGGCCGCTCAGAGGAGTAGAAAAAGACAACTCTCGCTTTCCTGTAGAACCGAACATTTAAGAGATGTTTTGCACCGTCCGCCGACAGATCTGTATTGGTGTCATTAGAATGTTGTTTTTAAGTTAGAATTGTATTGACTCCAAAAATCTTAGAGTGAGGGTTTATATGTTAAAGAAGCTATACCCGATTTTTTTTCTAAGTAGTTCATAAAAATGCTTTTTACTACATACAAGTTGTATCATAATACATAATTTAATTGAAAACTTGAGGTCATTGATTCCACTGTGTATGAAATTCAGGCAGTGAAAAGTGCTGAGTAGAGTCTGAGCGGGCCGCTCGTTCTCCTCCGCTCACAGAACAAGAAGCGAGCAGCCTGCGTCCTCTAGCCCCTACAGCGCTGCTTAACACCAGGGCTTCGACTTCAAAATTTTAATATAATTCTAAAATAAAAAATATATACATATTTGAACAAATATTAGACAACCCTTATAATTAGAAATGTATTTAATGACTGCAAATAAAATAGTTAGCTCCCAAAGGTTCCACCGGGACGTGCTAGGCAGGTAACAGCTAAGCTAGCTAGCTGTTTCATGGTAACTTCCGGGTTTTTCGCGATCGCTTTTTGTCACTTTAAAACAGTATTTTTGTCATGAAAACGTTGACAGCAAATTCTGAAATCGTCCGTGCATGTGTGTTAAGGATGTATCTGTATACTGTATTGTCCGATTGTCGTTTAATGGTGTTGATTGATTGATATGTATTTGTTTATTGAGCGTGGCTAGCTCCGCTAGCTTTTCTACACAGACAAGTGTGCAGAAAAACTGCACAATGTAGTGACAGGCGCTGATAGCTTGTTGTACTTGCAAAGTAATGGCAGTATTTTACACACCTGAATTACAAACAGAGATTGCATTGGGGCTGCGGTCATTATTGGTTTGAGAGTTCTGTTATCAAGAAAAAATGATCGGAAGAATTGCATTCAAGTCAATGGAGTGTTCTACTGCTGCTGTGAGGAGCTGTATAATAAATTATAATTAAATATTAGAATATATTCTAATGTTTAAATTAATACATCCGGACGCAAAACGTATTCTTTTACTTATATATTGTGTTAGCAGTGCATTGCTTTAGTGCCATTTCATCAGTGATTGTTGCACAGCTTACAAGTTACGCTAATGCTAATGTTAGAATACGTATCAGATCGCAAATAAAACTAGGTGGCTCCGTGTTATGAGAGCGCAGGTGAAATGAGAAGCCTGTGAGCGAGCTGGGGGGCGGTGCTAAACATTCAAACATTGTAGAAACGGGTATAGCGCCTTTAATTCATTTTGCCAAGAGGAAGCATGGGCCTTGTTTGAAGTTGGGGTTTTTGGTTTACTATTTACATGTTAAGATAAGATACACTCACAGTGGAGAAATGTACATGATAAAGTTAAAAATATAGTCCGTGCCGGATATAATTATGTACAATAAAAAAATAAATGTTAATGAGGTAGGTCTGGTCTCATTGTTCCTTTGTGTTTTGTTGGTTCCCCCTTTTATGTTGGAGGTGTGTTTTCTCTGGTGTGAGATTTGCTCTGGACTAGGCTGCGCTCAGTATTTCTGTAAAAGTATTTCTCCTCGGAAGACAACCAAGTATAAAGGATTTCTATACTAATGTTGGTTTGTGTGCGATTTTCAACTGTAGCTCAAAATCAGCATTCACAATGGGTTAAACATGTGCCCTTTAATGCGATTGTAAGTAACTTTTTATAACAGTGTTAGAATGGATGGGTGCGTTTCTGCTGCTGGGCCCCTGGATGTCTCCATAATACATACAGTACAATCTATCTATACATAAACTGACACAAATAATGCTTCTTGTTTTGTTCTTTGGGCTGAAAAGAGCGTGTGGAGGACAAGACGATCATGATGTTGTTTACATGTTTGCAAATGAGCAGCGTGCCAGTTGTAACTAAGTGTTCTCTAACGCAAAGTGCTTTGGTGCACTTCAATTGCTTCATTTGCACAACGGATTGAGTCAGGCAGAGTCCTCAGCGGGCCGTGGTCTCTGTGCTGGATACATGCAAATAGTGACTCCACTTTGAACTTTTTATCTGTTTCTACAAGTATGACGATAGCATCTGAAAATGAAATGTAAAAGTCTTCATAAATATTGAAACCAAGCCTACAATACATATACAAGACCAATATGGAACCTCAGAAGGCGGATCAGATTGTTTGGTTGGGTATGTAATTATTAAATGCATTTCCTCTGTTGTACAGGTATGTCTGAAGTACTGCAGCTGTGACAAAGACCAAACCAACTCAATGCACTTAAACGCAATCTCACGCTTCAGCTGAAACTCGCGCCCCTTCTCCTCTCTCTCATATTTGAGCAGAGCACTACGCACTGCATCCACTCACAAATCTGTAGGAGAATGTACAACCAAAGTCAGAATGGCCACCTGCAGCTCCACACCAGGACCAGTGTGAGCGGGTCCCGGCTCCAAAAGGTCCATGGACCCAGAGAGAGGATTATCCAATGCTTTCGTATGCCGTCTTCTTTCCTCTCGAATACGTCTTTACAATTTAGTCTCCCTTAACTCACCCAAGTGAAATGTTGCAAACATCTACACATAAATTTAACGCCACATGCATTGGATTGTCTCAAAGGCTTTTACATTTTCTGATTGAAGCTCTGATAGTTTGAGTCAATGGCAAAGAATAGAATATTCTATAGTAACTCTTACGGGTATTCAGATCCACACATTGCAAATGGACGCACGAGGATGATTATTTCTACAAACAATCTTTAGGTTATCAAGGACTACAGTAAGACTGTAACATCTTTGACTAATCACCGCGGCACACACAAACCACAAGTTTCCTCTCAATTTGAATAAAAGTTTGGAGCAAACATGAGTTCAAAAGTACAAAAAATAAACATACCAGTAAAAAACGAACGAAGCTACTAAAGGTGGCTGCACCATAGTGAAAGAAGGTGCATCATGTTGCTTCGTGCAGAATAGATTGTGCCTGGAATTCATATTAATCATATGATTAAATCACATTAGATTCATATTAATTCAATTCAATTTGTTTTGGTAAAGCCCTCAATCACAGCAGTAGTTTTCTGGGAGGACTGGGAGGATCAAACTGTTCAAACACGAGAAATGCACTGATAAAAAAACACATAGAGCCATTGGTCCATAAGGAGCAGAGACCAAGGTCCATAAATGTTGAATCCACACCTTGTGTTGAATGTGGAGTGTCCTGGATCATCCCCACTGTCCTCAGACCCCCTCAGTAGATACTGTCGATGATTGAATCATGGTTGAGGGCTCTCATTAAAAAGTTATAGAGTGGTAAATAAAAGTCTCAAGTTATAGAATCACTTCACATCCGGTGAAATTGGGAATTTGAAACACAAGCGTTCACTTATTCATTTCTGCTTCTTTCTTTTGTTCCCGGGACAATTAATTACACGCTCCTCCCACGTGTTTTCAGAGCCACCGCTTGAATATTCCATGAGTATTTAAGTAACTATTGTTGTTCACTGCTTTATTAACTATTCATCTGCTCTTAGTGAGGCGCATTGGGGGAAAACAGCGTGCACTGTTTTTGAGGCAAATGTAATGGTAAAAAATAAGATGAAAAAGTACATTTTGCTTAAAGGCATTGTGGGGAAAGTGGACATATGACGCGCTCTCAGACGGCTGGCACTCAAATGGAACAGGAATGACATGCTGCAGTAGTTAAAAAGGTCATCTAAATGTCGGGAGATTTTAGTTAGAGGATGTCACTTGTATAAAAAACTCTAAAGTTGGTTGATTTTAACTTTTAACTTATATTGAATAAAGCCAGTTAAACATTTTGGTATGATTTATCACAACAAATACATAGTGGCTGCATGGGTCGTTCTCAGACCTCACAATAAAAGTACTAGAGCCACTATTTTGAGACTTTCATTTGATTGGCTCAGTGAGGGTGGTCCTATTTTTACACATTAATGTCTGAAAAAGCTGATCTAAAGCTCTTAAGAGGACAAACATATACAGTATGTGAGTAAGTTTTTATTTATATACCGCCTTTTCACTGCAGATCTGAGCCAGACCTATTGGACATATTTTTAGTGGTAGGGGAAACCGGAGTACCCGGAGGAAACCTACGCAGACACGGGGAGAACATGCAAACTCAACTCAGAAAGGCCCTGGTCCGACCGGGATTTGAATCCAGGACCTTCTTGCTGAGAGGCGAGAGTGCTATCCACTCAGCCACCGTGCCGCCCACTATGTATATGATAGTGATAGGACCAAACTGTTTGGAGAGCTGG